GCATGGAAGACAAATCATCACCACTCAGGAGTCTATATTCCCTTGAGGAACACCATATATTCAAGAATAAGCCATGGTTTTCTGTGCTGATAGACAGCACAAAAATCATTGAAGAGAAACACATAAAACAGCAGAAGAACATTGTCCTATGACAACCCCTGTGACTCTCAACAGAAAAAAAAAAAAATCCTCAAGATTAGTTTGTCAGCAAGACCTTGATGAATATTAAAAAAATGTTGTGAACAAACAGAAAGGAAACCACCTCAAACAGGAACAGTTCTGATTCAGATCACTGCATATGAACTGGAGATAATAAGGGTTCAACAGAGAGCTATGAAAAATAAAGAGTCCTCCAAACAAGACATGTAAGCCTCCAGGCACACTGCTGATAAAAAGTGCTAAGTCTCCCTTAGACTCAGACTTGGATAGGTGTATTCAGTCGCACAAATTAAGGTTAAGACACCAGCTCTGTTTCACGCTGGGTACAAAGCAGCCACCAATGTAAAGCCCTTTCTGTATGGCCAGAGTTGCCATGGCTTTCCCAGCCCCTCTGGCCAGGACAGCATCAACGTCCTGATGGATGCTTCTGGAAGGCCTGAGGAGTTTCCAGTCAACCTCTGTTTCAGAGAATTTAATCTCAGTAGGGAACATAAATTGTTGACCTTTCAAGGCCTTAAAGTGAACTTCTTACCTCAGAAAAGAAACATTTATTACTGCTCATCTAAAGAAGGAAGCGTGATGTACTCCTCTCACAAATACCATTTGCTCAGAAGAGTGCCCCGGGCTATCCAGTTCAACAAAAGCTACAGGCTTGTACAGAAGTTTCAATGAGAACAAAACACTTGGTGAGCATGTGAACTGTAGGTGTGACTTCTGAAGATCTCATGACCTTGAGCACAGATAGGCTCCTTGAGACCTAGCATGAAGATGTCTTTTAAAAATCTCATTTGTTTCCATGACAATGGCTACATAACAGATTCGCACATTGTCAGATAAACATGGGAAAAATTTTGGGGCAGGAACCATCCTCCCAAGAGGTCTCCTGGGAATAGATATTGACTTCTTGAAAAGAAGCATGCCTTATGCTTACAGCATAAAATTAATCTGTAGCCCTTAGAACATTTAGTTTAGGTGAAAAATATTTTACTAAATAAAACAAAGATTGACCTCCTAAAATTTAGACACCACTACAAGCAAAAACCTATAGTTCATTTTAAGAATATTAGCTCAAAATGGATAGAATTGGTAAATATAAAAATAACAGATTCTACTGTTCCACTGCAGCAACTGCCACCTGAAGGTCATAGTCGTAGAAAGGCAAAAAAAGGAAGCAAGTGCCCATTAGTTCAAAAAGAATAATGAATGGCTAAGCTGAGATGCTGCTGGGAGACTGAGTTCTCACAGAGGAATTACTATAGCTAAATCTTTGGGGGGAAAAAAAAAACAAACAACCAAACAGTTATGTCTGAAGGTGAAGTACCCCTATGTAGCCAGTTGTTGGCCAAGTCAGTTCAGAAAGTCCTATCTTCTCAAATCCAGTAAATTACTACAAATTAGCGGTAAAAATCACCTACTAGGAGGGTAAGTAACCTTGACACACACCAAGCAAAAAAGCAGGACCGCAGGACCCCAGGCCACAAGTTATGCCCAGCAGAATGTTTATCAAAGACACCCTCTATAGAAATGAGTGACAATATTCTATTTTTTTTTAAGTCACATAAGGTAGTTCAAACAGATTGGGATTTGGACAGCAAACTTGACCAGATTCCCGAATTAGAAGGTCCCGGACTAGTGACTGAATCCTGGGATTCCACAGTGAAGTAGCCTGATAGCAAACTGTCTTGGATCTTTTTGTACAGCAGGAGCATTCTTGATGAAGAGAAGTATCAGAGGAAAAGCACAGAACTGCTGACGGTGGCTCCACAACCTGCCCATCCCAGGAACAGAAATACTAGCACTTCTTGTTAGATTCCAAGATGGACAGTTCAATTTTGGAGTGCCTCACTCATAAAAGGTGACTTCTAAGATGCCATGCCGTGCCACTTCCAATTCACTAAATACGTAAGTCTATGTACTCATATATACATTTGGTTTCTCAGCTCAGTGCATTACTTCTACAGATCTTGTAGTATTTTATTTTGCTGAGCCCAGAAAGATGAGGATGAAGATGCTGGGAAGTTGAGGATGATCCTGGAGATCAGAGATTCATGGAAATGAACGCTGGGGAATGGCCCTGGACCACAGCCTGTAATGCCTGAGACTGTTCGCTGCAAGCAACTGCAAAGCAGGTATTGACATGACTTTGCGCCCCATCCCAGAGCAGCAGTGACTCCCTTACTGCAAACGAAAGTTGAGACCAAGCCATCAGGGTGGGGAGCAAGTGAAGGACTGTGTGAGGCAATCAAGCAGTATTGTTCTAATCCCCTTGATTCTTAAAAAAAAAAAAAAAAGCAAACAAAAACCCCCAAAACCAAACCAGTATCCAGACCCACTACAGGCTGTCATTTACCATCTCATCTGTGGCACCATGATGCACGTTTCTTGATGATTCAACTACTTTATAAACTGTCTTTCACGAAGTGGATGCGAGACTTCCACTCATTGCAGACAGCTGAGAGTCCAGGAAAACTGATGTAAAATCACCTCCTCCTTTTGAGTTTGCTGTTCTGTGCATGTGGCCACTTGAGTGCCCCCTCAGTCCAGAACAACACATTTAACTCTACCATAACCCAGGCAGAGAGAACTGAAAAAGCATTTTGGTAAATACACTGACCTGATTTGCAACACAGAAAGGAATTTTTCACTTTGTGACAACCTGCTTGTCTAGAGCATATAGAGCAAGAGAAGACACTAAACGAAGTCACATTTGAAGATAGCAAACGAATTTTAAAACAAAGCAAGGAGCAAGTGTAAGAGGCCCTGAGCCCCAGGAAAGACATACCATTTATTAAAATACATACCTGAAAGCTCAAGCTCTGAATCATTTATTAAAAATAGGAACCTGTCAGGTTGTAAGGAAGTTCTCATTTGATCTGGAGTTAACAGGAGGTCTAACAGACCCAAAAGGTACAGGTTTGAGAGAAAGCCAATCTTGAGACCCAGATACTGGAAAAGTAACGATATCAGAGGCTTTGAAAGATGGAGAAACCACCCACCCATAATAACCATTCATTGAACTAAAGGAAAAACAACATTTCTGATACTCAGCAACTATCCTCAGCATCAGAGAAGACTCTAGAAAGCCACAGTCTGGACTGAAGGATCCTGAACTGTTATTAGTCATACAAATATTATTGGATCATGCAAACGTAGCAAAGAGGAGTGGTAGCAATAAAATTTGTTCAAGATCTCGGAGAGAGATGTGAATCAATACTCCTCCTCCTCCTCCTGAATATCTCAAAGACTGCTGCAGAAGATCAATTTCTGAAAACCCAGACACAGCCAACTTCTTTTTTTTTTTTTAAACTCTTATTATTAGTTTTCAGGTGGAGGGTGTTTTGTTTTGGGTTCATTTTGGTTTAACACCAGGAGTGGCCACTGCAGAGCCCTGTACCCCCAGCTGCGCTTAAACTGACTCCACTAAATTTGTGGACAGCACTGCGCCCATTTCAGGCAAAGCAGACACTGACTAAGATAGTTTTTCTTAGGCACTTTTTAAAGACTAGCAATGAATCTCAATCCTACTTTACAAGGGCAAAAAGAACAAAAACCACACACACACAAAAAAACTTTAAATCCCAATTCACATCACATAAGGAAGTATGTTAAAGATATTGCCCCACTGTGCAAACTCACAAAAGAAATAACCTCTAGCAAATCCTACCCACACATAGCAGGGAAGCTACAACAGTAAATCTTCACCAATCTTTCCAATCATGAGCAGGATAAAAATCTCAGAGCAGCATCGATTTTTGATGCATATAAGAAGGAAAAAAGCCAAAGGAAAGTATCTCTGGTGCCTGCCAGATATATGGAAGGCAGTCAAACACTTAATTGTATAAAAGGAGAAAAGAAGAAAAAATAAAAGAAAAAAACATTTCTAGGAAAAAGTCTGGGTATTTAAAGAATTTGTCAAGAATGACTGAGTGAACACTTGACTATTATCAACACTTCAAAACTATACTCCTTTAATTTGCATCTTAATTATTCCTTCCAAGGAAGACTACTTTAAGTGGAACTTTCACATTCTTTTCTATCTAGTTCAACACACTGCTGATGTCTGACAAGCAATGGTGAGACTCCACATGAGCTAAAGATGAAAACTTAAAGCAGGTTTTTCCTATGGACCTAAAGCAGGTTTCAGGCAGTTCATATACACGCCTTTTTGCTGAACTGTCTCAGCTTAAGTGCAACCGGTACGTCTTCCTCCAATAAAGATGACGGCAGCCTTTTATAGCCTTAACCTCTTGGTAGAGCAAGCAATGGGAGTCCCAGTCCTTCCGTATACATCTATTTCTGCATTGTCCTTGCTATACAGGATAGGTTTTCAATTTAATGTTACCTTTTAAAAAGCTGCTATAAATCTCTGCTTGTTTTCTCTAGACATTTCAGATCCTTTTGTTATTTAGGGGAAGTAAGCCCAGTGAATGATTAAGAATGCAAGTTTATTACAGAAAACAATTACTTATGTCTCCTGACCGTACAGTAGAGTCTTCCACAAGTCACTGCAAGACTAAAAAGAAATTCTCTAAAATATTGACAGATTCATTTAAACTTTTCTATCACAGTGAAGTAAAAAGAAGTAAAACAAAATTCTGCATTGTATCCACTATAGTAACAAACCAACTCATAGTATGAAACAATAAAAGGTGATTATAATAATCAGCACATCAGTGGAAGCACTGAAGCCAGAAAGCCAAGATTCTGGTTTAAACATTTGATAAGAAGAGGTATTTCACAACATACACTGACAAACTGCATATAGCGTTCCTACACAAACATAAAGTAAAATTGAAAAGCAGTGCCTTATTAGCGAAAGCACCAATCAAAATATGCCTTACTTGAGTTATTCCACTGGGAGGGATCTTGTATGACTGCAGCTTCTGCTTCAATAGCTCAGGATCACTGTGGCGGAATGGGCACCCTGACAGTAAAAACCAAGCAAGCTTATAAACAAGAGTGTTTACCCAGGAGCTGGTGCAGTAGAGACTCCAGAGACTAGCTAAGCTCTTCCTAATTGTACAACAGCTTATTAATAAGAAAGTTAATTGCCCATGTGTACAATTCCTTACTTTTTTCTTTCTTTCTTTTTTTTTTTTTTTTTTTTTAATAATTACTCCACTGCATGATTCTCAGGGCACCGCAGGCTCAAGAGTTACATAAAATATCCCAACACAAACAGGCCACAATTCTCATTCACTGCCAGGAAAAGAATTACTTAAGAATTTACTTAGTTCCTTGATAACAAAGATAACGCCGGTATGCTTAATAGCTGTGAAAAAAAACAGGAACAGACAAGTAATGAGAGACAACTGGTCTTTAAAGCATAGTCCTTTGAAAAAATATTACTGTATAAATACCTTAGAAAGTTCCACCACCTTAAATAAGAGTGGGTAGTTTTTGTCCCAGAATTAGTTTTGGGACACAATTGAGTGAACAACTTAGTCCTAGAATAACAACAGTGAAGGTGGTGCAGGTTTTCCATGTTTAATCACACAGAGGTAGGAGGCTTTAAAGTATCCCAGCACACTTCAGAATTTCTGTACAATTGAATTTGTATCTCTAAACACCTCTAATTGCTCACTTTATAAAGAATCTTTACATTTAAATTCTCCCGGCACTGCATGTCACAATGTATGTAAGACCAAAAGCTATCAAGTGTGATCCAAAGAGAACTTTTTTTTTAAGGAACTCACCATGATAATCCCCTTGACCTGGTGGATTGGACATGATAATCTTCATGCAGCTGTATGGGGTATAATCAGTTCTCCTTCCTTCTTTCCCATAGCTGTGGCGAATGCTATAAGCATATCCTTTGTCAAACTAAATAAAAACAAATGAATAAATTCTTAAATATTGTGTCAGTGATTCTATCTGCTCTGCAAAAAGAAATACTGGATAACAAAATAAATCTTCCAAACATATTCTAGCTGAGAAAAAGAAAAATCAAGCTGCTTGATTTTTATATTACATGGACTTGTACATGCACGTGTTTTACAGACACATCACAAGAGAATTGTGTAACTGCACTGATTTTAGGTCTTTTCAGTTGATGTGGTAACTGCTTTAAAGATAAAACGATGCAAAGATGAAAATTTTGAACCCCACAATGTCAGTAAATAGAGAAAACACAGCAATATAAAATCTTTCATAAATGTCCATAAATTGATTGCTTTACCAGAGCATAAAAATAGAAATATAGATTTCTTTACTCAGGTTCACATTCTCGCTCTCCCAAAGTACAATGCTTCACCTAGACTTTGTTTCAACACTGAAGTTCAAGTCATTAGATTCTAAAATGGAATATACGCCACCTGTACAAATGAGAAAGATTTTTAAAAATTTCTTTTGTCTACCAATAGACTACCAACTCCTGCAATAAAATGAAATCTTCTAAAGTAATAGAGATGAAATCAAACATTTATCTTGGCACCTGAGTACAGCACTATCAATATATAACTTCAGGCAAGCCCTGTGAAGAATATTCAATGACATGAGTTCGTGTTATTTTATATGTGGCAACAGGTGACACAAAATCTGTAGCAGAATCAGACGAATTAACATACAGATTCCGTTAAGTTGCATTAGCTACTATAAGACATCAAGGAACATTTGTTCAAATACCACACTTCTAGTTGTAAAAAAAAATCAAATAAGATAAAATAACAAAGCATCATATTTAGAATTACACATCCTCAGTCTCTCTTCTCCTCAAAGAAGCTATAATACATAAAAGAAAAACCGTGCTCTTCCTCTATTCAAAATTTTAACATTAGCTTTATGTAAAGTTTGATGTCTGAATTAAATATAAAGAACTCACACAAGAATTTATGTTTGCTTCTCAAAAACCACTTTGAAATATTTTTTTTACTCTGATATCTGATATAAGACAATGTAATATACTGAGAACAATCATTCAAACATACAACTGGTAACTCTACTACTTCAAGGATACTCTTCATTTCTACACGTAAAAGTAGTTCCCTGTTTGGCCTCCGGACTTCCAAACAGTAATTCAGAATATTCATATTCCTAGGAACTATCTTGACCCGCTAAATCTTGCCTAAAATAAGATAGAAAAGTAAGCATATTCTTCCTCACATAAAACACTTTAATGTTTTTGAAAAATAAAAATAGCTGAAAACCTATAACATAAAATGCAAAAACATAATAAATGTGTATAAAAATATACACAACATTCTAAAATAAAATTCTAAATTGCACCTGATTCTGGAAGTGTAAAAAAGAAACATCTCTATCAAGATGCTGTCTTATATAACCAAGCCAATGTATCAAGAAGAATAATAAAGCTTAAGGCATCCAAAGCTCTGAACAAACATGGACTAATTAATCCTTAGTGTGCATTTGACAAAGATGGGTTTGCTAGCAATAGAGTTGGGCTTACCAACCCTTCATTAGAAAGAAGAGTCAGACTATATGAGGATCTGCTCTAGGTGTGTGCGGGAACTCGGGAAGGGCTGGGGAACAGGTATCCTCTCCTCAGCAGCAGCTGCTGGCCGAGCCCTGCTGCTGCTCCTGCAGGAGCTGCAATTGGTATATTTACTCCTGAAAAACAGCAAACATCAAACACAAAGATGTATTTTAATTCCCAACCTCTGAGTGAACCCGTTAAACTGAAAATGGAGTCTGTGATCCTGTAGTCACCTATTCTTACAGCCAGAAGCTTCAGAACCTTTCCTCCTTCTTTGCAAAAATGAATGAAGGCATATTTCATTTGCTTAACAAAGGATATTTGAGCAGGCCATTAAATTCGATTAAATTAGTTTTTTGTAGGGGAAAAGCAAATCTTGAACACTTCAGGATGTATTGCTTAGTTTGCCAGAAAATTAACACCCCTCTTTAACAGTTCTCTACACTAAAATCTTGAGCTGTACGTTTCACGTCGCTTGCCTTAATGCCCACAGAAATTACTTTTACTACCTAACTCATTATTTTATGCTGAGAAGCAGCTCCTGCAGCAAATAGAAATAACAGCTACATAATAACACAACACGGCCTTGGGACAGGTTGGATGTTTTCTCATTCCTGTCTTGTAACGCTGCTGGGTGTCAGAGCTCTGGCAGCAGCCGATGGCAGAGAAGCACAACACAGCCACATGGTGCGTCAGCACCTGCGCAGCCGCATGCTTCACCAGCAGCTCTCTCATCCTTGTGACTCAGCGTTTATCATCATTGATTTAGGAAACGGGATTTTAGCAGGGCCAATATCCAACAGGCTGTGTGGTCATCCTCAGTGGGAAGAAGAAACCATGAATTGTGGCATTTCATTTCAGCAACCACATCCTGCAGAACAGCCCTCTCTGTACACTGGGGGATTACATCAATGCTCAGAATCTCTCTTGCCTAATACCATTACTCTGCGGTATGCACAAAGGAAAAGCCCTCTCAGGAGCAATCCCCTTCGCCAGCAAAAGTACCAAGGTAAAATCAGACATGTTTGAAATATGCAGAAACAAGAAGGCAGAGGTAGGGAACTGTCCCTTCATATTTATACTAACACCCCAAGGTGAAGTGGTAAGATTTTCACAGTTCCTCGAGCAAAATGAACAAATTATACACAGCACACATCATGCGTGTAGGTGTTTTCTGGGTTATTCTAACTGCTTATAAATAGCTTAGTTTTAAACTACTTCAGAAAACACCTATTCCAGTATATTCTACCTGCAATCTACTATAAGGTCATCATGGCAAATAATGGTAAAAGGTCAAAACTCAAGTGATTTGAGAAATCACTTTTTGGTGATGGCCCTATTAAGAACTTTTGAGGGTTCTGTTGAAGCCTGAAATGGACTTGCTTAACAAAAATGATGCTGCAGGAGTGCATATATTTCCCTTGGACTCTGTGTGACAGTTTCCACTGAGACAAAAGAAAAGAATACAAAAAGCAAAAAATTATTCTATTCCCATAGAAAAGCTGGGTATGCATATACACCCTACCCCAGTCTGTGCTAAATACCAATGGAAACTTACTGCCAAAGGGACAATAAAACAGCAGTGTTAAAGCAACACCATTACACTACTGAGTGTTCACATGTACTAGATCACCTACTGCTGGTAAGATTTGAGAGCAGGGATTCTCTGCAACTTTTTAACTGTATGGCCCACATCTCAACTCTCTCAGTCATTTTGTATCCATTTAGCTCTCTGAGCTTTCCAAAATGCCAAAAGGCAGTTGTAATTTATGTGCTGGGTGGATGAGCCATGGCTTTGGTGAAGGAGAAAGGGATCAAGTATGTCTTGTTTAAGCAATGAACTGGTTCATGCTGAAGCCAAGAAGCTGAGACAACAAAAACCCTTTAACAACATCTCTATCAAAATTTGTCACTTTGATGTTGGAATGTGCAAATCCTGGGATTAGCAGCAGTATGAATTTTTGTTTTAAAAGACTGCAAGCCAACTGTCTGAACTTTTACTGGATCCCTGAAGATACAAAGTTTTTTGAGGACTTCTCTTTCCTCCAAGCGTGGCTGTAGATGCCCATGATGCCTGATCTGAAGTGCACGGCTGGTGACAAGTGGGTAGTTCTGAGTTCTCATGCATCAGTACTTGTTGTAATGAGCTGAGGTGCCCAGCGTGTGGTACTGAAAGTGCTAATGATGATCCTGAATATCCTGGAACAGGTGACCCCAAGGCTTTCTTAGACTTCTTCTCCCCGTAAGAAAGCCAGCTCTCAGCATGGATTAGTGGGACTAAACCAGCAGTCCAAAGCCAGAACCAAGGAGGCTGCAGGACAGTTCACTGGGCATAGATGAGAGGACCGCAGCAAGGAACGTACAATTGGCTTTTAGGTGGTACATTCACATGAGTGAATCTACATGACCCGTGCAGATTAATTTGCCTTATAACTGTTAAGATACACATGCTGTATTAGACAGCCGTCCCTAGGAGACATGCAAGTTATAAATTAAGGTAAAAGTAAGGTATAAATAAAAAGGAAAAAAAAAAAGCTATAAATTTGCAACTGGTATAGCCTAATACCAGATTACGATGTTCCAGATGGGAATTTAAGGAAATGCTATTTTCAGTAAATTCTGATCACATGAATGTACACAAGATCTTTGGATATGGAATGAGGATGTACATCAAATGGACCCTTTGGCAGGTGTAAGTTCTCCTTTGAAGAAAAGCTTTCATCAAACAAAGCAAGGAAGGATGGGTCATGTGTGCCTCCTAATTATTGATGAGATACGATTGAATACATGTTCAAAAGAGGACAACAACAAATGACGCTCCCTAGGCATTCCAGCCACTGCAGAGTAAGTAGCAGGTCATCACTGGGAGTTACTTTCTCTGTACCACTTACCATATTTGCAGATTAGTATCTGGAAATAGAACTAGGTCCTCCATAAGTTTTGCTATCAATTTCGATATTCAGCATGTGTGTTACGACGGAAAATAATTTGCTGACAGGTCTTCCAAGCCCTGTGTGCTCAGGTTCACACTTTATGTTTCAGTTTAACTACTTTTAACTACTCATGTAAGTTTTTATGCATCTATTCCTTACACTGCTGCAAGATTTATTTATTTAAAATCTAACAACTAAGCAAAATGACTGCAGTAATTTAGTCTGGCTTCTTGGCTGACCACCGGATTAGTTGCAACTCTGCAAAATTCAAAGAAGTTTAACACCTTTTCTTAAACAGTCTTTGGGTAATTTCCTGCCTAAAATTGTTGAGCCTGTACGGGTAACAGCTTCAGATTCATAAATGTATCACACAACTTGTGTATTTTCTGCAATAATTGGTTTACTTTTTCTTCCATTGCCTAGGCAAGTCACTCAAATCATTACTGCTGACACTGCTT